GGCCTCTTCTGGCCTTCCTGGAGGCCCTCTTGGGGGCCTCTTGGGCCGTCTTCGGCCAGCTTCGAGCCAACTTCGGCCATCTTGGTGGGTGCCTGGCACGTCTGACGCCGTCCGGAGCCGTCTTGGGGTCCTTTCTGGACCGACTTGGGGCCCTCTTGGGGAGCTTCGGGGCCGTCTTGGAGGCCATCTTGGGCGTCTTGGAGGCCATCTTGGGCGTGTTGGAGGCCTCTTGGGCCGTCTTGGCGCCCTCTTGAGGCCATCTTGGAGGCCACTTGGGCCATCTTGGAGGCCACTTGGGCGATCTTGGGGCGATCTTGGGGGCCTCTTGGGCCGTCTTGGGCCGTCGGAAAGCCGAAAAGGCGCAAATGCCAAAAGCCTTCAAAAACCGAAGGAAAATCAAGAATTTTGGCCTCGTCGGGCCTTCCTGGAGGACCTCTTGGAGGCTTCTTGGGCCGTCTTGGAGGCCTCTTGCGGGCCTGATGGGCCGTCGTAGACCACCTTGAGGCTATCTTGGGCCGTCTTGGACGAATCTTGGGGCCATCTTAGGCCGACTTGGGTACACCTTGGGCCGTCTTGGAGGCATCTTGGGGCCATCTGAGCCATCTTGCAGGCCATCTTGGCCGTCTTGGAGGCATCTTGGCCGTCTTGGAGGCCATCTTGGGACCGTCTGGGGCAGGAAAACCGTTGGCAACTACCTCTTCCGGGTGGCCGGCGGGACGCGCCGGAGCCCCAGGGGGAGCTCCTTTGGAAAAAGAACCAAAACCAAAAACGTAATAGTCTAGCACGCCAAGCACCCCTTTGATGAATCAAAAGGGGGCGGCGGATTTGGAGGCCTTCGGCTCATCCCGCCACCGTGCCTGGTGGTGGGACCGAGGCTTTGTGGAGGTTCGTTGGGATCTGGTGGGGAGCTTCTCGGGGGCTTCTTGAAGGCAGTCGTGAAGCCTCTTGAGGGCCGTCTGGGAGCCTCTGTTGGGCCTCTTTGGAGCCTGTCGTGGCCTCTTGGGGACCTTCTGGGGGCGCCTTGGGGCCTTTCGGGGGCCTCTTGGGGCTTCCTGGGGGCCTCCTGGGGCGGAAGGCTCGAATCGTCGGTGCATGTTCCCCCTCTTGGGGCCGTGCTGGGGCCCTCATGGGCCGTCTTGGGCGCCTCTTGGGCCGTTTCTCGGCCCTCTTCTTGGGCTGTCTCGGAGCCTTCTTGGGCGCTTCTGGTGTTATCTTTGGGCTGTGTTGGGGGCCTCGTGGGCCGTCCTGGAGCGTCGGAAGCTCGAAAAGGTGAGAACCCCCAAAACATATACAAATCCACAGGAAATCAATGACGTGTGCCTCTTGGAGCCCTCTTGGGGGTCCTCTTGGAGCGCTCTTGGGGCCTCTTGAGGGCCTCTTGGCCCGTCTTGGAGCCATCCTGGGCGTGTAGGAGCTCTCTTGGGCCGCCTTGCGGCCTTTGCGGCGTTGCCGCCGCCCTCACTTCACCCCTCCCCCAGCCCAGCCGCTCCCACATCCGTTCTCCTGCGGCGCGCGCCGTAGCGGCCGCGAAAAAAAGGTAGGACCCCACCACCCGAGTGGCCCCGGAAATGGTAGAAGCTCCCCTCGCTCCCCCCTTTCCCCGGCAGGGCCACTCCGGAGCCCCCCCCCAGCAGAGCTGAAGCTCAGGCTATAAGTTTTAAGGTTCACACGCTGGATCGGCAAATTACCCGTGAAAGTGATGCGCGGACATGCGCAGGAAGAATCCGGCCCAAATCTGCACCGTAAGCATTCACTGGACATGTGCACCGTGCAGCACAGCGTCTGTCTACACACCGTATGCTTACACACAGCGTGTGTGTACAGCGTGTGCGTACACAGCGTCCATTTACCAAGCATGGTTGCTTCTGTACACGCATACTAGCTGTATGTACTCACAGTATGTATGAGCCGTACGTACTAATCGTAAACATGCACCGTAAAGCACAGCGTGTGTGTACACAACGTGTGTGAACAAAGCGAGTGTGCGCGCGTGTGTGTGCACTGCAAATACGAGTCGTCAGTAGGAACCGTAAGTCTGCACTGACAAGCGCAGCGTGTGTGTACACAGCGTGTCTTTACACAACGTGTGTCTACACATCGTGTATTTACTCAGATCGCGTGTGTGTACACACTGTTAGCATGAACCGTCCGTGTCAACTGTAAATGCTACCCGTACATCGTGTAAAGCAGAGCGCTTGTGTACAACACGTGTGTTTGCACGGCGTGTGCTTATCGAGAATACGAATCGTGGGTACTACCCGTAAGTACTACTCGTGAGCTCGCACCGTAAAGCGCACCGTGTGTTTGCACGGCGTGTGTGTACACAGCGTGTGTGTACACAGCGTGTCTACACAGTGAGTATATATATATGTATATTGTGTGTGTGTGTCTGTACACGCACTGTAGATAGTAACTGCACGTGTTGACAACAATTCTCTATCACAAGTGCGGACTCGACTCGTGCATCGTACAGCACAGCGTGTGTTTAGACAGCGCGCGTGTGTGTACAGCGTGTGCTTGTGTGTACACACCGTAAAAATACACCGCAGATGCTAGCCGTTAGCGCTAACCGTAAGCATGCACCATGAACGCACAGCGTGTGTGTACACAGTGTGTGTGTGTGTGCACAGCGTGTGTGTGTACACACCGTAAGTACGAATCGTGGCTTGCAATTGTAAGGATTACGTATAGACATGCACCGTAGAGCACAGCGTGTGGGTGTGTGTACGCAGCGTGTGTTTGCACAGCGTGTTTGTACATATTGTGTGTACACAGCGTGTGTGTGTACACACACTGTAAACATGAACCGTTTGTACGGCCCGTAAGTGTCAACCGCACGTGCTAGCCGTACATCACACCCTATCGCACAGCGTGTGTTTCCACAGCGTGTGTGTACACAGCTTGTGTGCGTGTGTGTACACAGCGCGCGTGTGTGCACTGTGTGTGTTTGCACATCGCGAGTAGTAGCCGTACACAAGAACAGGCAATATCAATCGTAAGTGCCAGCCGTGCGTATTCAGCGTACTCACCAACCGTACGTACGCACTTTGAATAACACACGTGCATGGCAACCGTAAGCTCGGTATGAAGTTTCGCACCGTAACGCGCAGCTGGTGTGTACACTGAGATTGCGTACACACCGTGTATGTACACCCATGTAAACTTTGATTTAAACTTTTGAGGGTGCATGTAAATATTCACCGTGTTTGTTAGTCTTGAACGGGAACCGTAGGTCTGAATCGTAGACACGCATCGTAAACATGCACCGTATATGCGAGCTGTTAGCGCGCACCGTCGATACGAACCGCACATATGTGCCGTAAGGGTGCGCCGTATATATGCACGGTATATACGGAGTGCTATGTATGCATTGTAGGCACGATTTGCAAGTACGCTGCGCCTGTACGGGCTGTAAGGTTGCACCGTTCATGTGATTTGTAAAGTCGCGCCGTCGCTACGCACCGTGAATCTGAATCGTAGGTACGAACCGAACGTACGAGCCGTAAATATGATCCGTGAGGATGGACCGTGGATACCAGCTGTGAATATCATCAGTGCGTGCGTGCCGTAAACATTTTTGTACATGTTAACAGGATATATGGACTGTACATGCTATGGGTAGTAGTCGCAGGAAGTCGCAGGTATGTGTTTTAGCCGCCAGTATCCATAAGTATCAACCGCAAATGAGCAAGACGCTGTGCACTTTCAGCCCCCCGTCTTTGTACACTTACAGAGTTCACCATCGTTCGATCTCATCTCGTGCACGCCATGTGTCAGAATGACGTTTTGCGGGGCTAGGTCGTTGTTGAACGTCTCTGCGTCCGCGCGAGCTCGACTGCGCACCGCCTCCAAGCCGGTGTGCCGACGCCCCGTCAGGCTCCCTCGAGCTGTTTGCGCCGCGCAGTGCCCGCGCCCTCTGAGTGCGCTCGGGGGGATGCATCGTTCTCACGGGCGCCATCCCCGCTGGGGAGTCAGCATCGCTGCGTCGCACTCATCGGACTCTCTGCTGCCGCACTACACGCCGGTCGTTGAAAGTAAGTTTTTTTGGATTCCCAGATCCCAATACACTGCAAGCGCCGTCCTACTTCAGGAATCGATATGTATCCGCCTTCCTACTTCATGTCTTCATTTTACTATTGCGACCCACGTGCATTATGCGTTGAAGAAACAGCACGTCCACATCGCCGCGTCGCAGCGTTCCGCTCCGCTTCTGGACCCCCCAGCACCATCCTTCTTCGGGAGCCGCGTGATAGGGGGGGGCCATCAATGGATATGGCAGCGGGGGCTGCAGAAAAAGGGGCCCTGTAGGGCGCTCAAAACGACCCTTTCGGGCCCCTAAGCAAGGCCTTTCTAAATTCTAAGGGGTGGTCTTCCGGGCCCGGACAGTGCACGTCTCTTCCTCCCATGTATCGCCCCCCCCTTTTGAGCGGCGCTCACCTTCTGCTCCTCATGCTTCCCTTTCCTCCTCCCTCTCCTGCCCTTCTGCGCCCCCCCCTCCCCCCCACCCCCTCCATGCGCATCTCCCCCCCCCCCCCCCCTGTCCGCATCCCTGGTAGGCCTGCGCCGCCATCCGCACTGCCAGCGCCCACCCCTTCTTGCGTCCAGGGGGCGGAGAGGGGAGGGGAGGGGAGGGGAGGGGAAGGGGGGAGTGGTGGAGGAGGAGGAGGATGAGGAGGAGGAGGAAGAGGAGGAGGAAGAGGAGGAGGAGGAGGAAGAGGAGGAGGAGGAGGAGCGGGAGGAGGAGGAGGAGGAGGAGGAGGAGGAGGAGGAGCGGGAGGAGGAGGAGGAGGAGGAGGAGGAGGAGGAGGAGGAGGAGGAGGTGGAAGAGGAGGAGCGGGAGGAGGGATGGAGGGAACAGAGGGAGGGAGGGCAGTGGAGGGGGAGGGAGGGGAGTGGGGATGGCAGGGGCTCCGGACTCCGGACTCTGCGATGGGCGAAAGGACTCCACCAGGGGGCCTCTGCCTGGGCTGTGCAAAGCGGGAGTGGACCCCCGGCTGGAGGAGGCGGCCGGCGAGACACCAAAGGAGGCCGCTGGCGACGAGACTCTGGACGCCAAGGCGCTCGCAAACCGAAAGAAGAAGGAAAAGAAAAAGGCCCTTGGGGAGTTGCTGCTCTCTCTTACCGTGCACGCCATCCTTGGTTGGCGAGCAGGTTCCTGATGCTTCCGTGCCATCAGAGTGGGGCGGTCTCCCGTCAGGTGAATATGTAGCTGGTGTTTTTTGACGGGTTGAGGGTGGGCTCGTGGCTGGGGCGTCGGTCGCTCCGGCTGCCCCTTCAGGCGACAGCCCACCCTTCCTGTCTGCTGGAGCGACCGTCCCTCGCCAGAAACGGGGTTCTGGGGGCCAATGGAGCCTCTGTCCCTCGTGAACATCGGGTGCTGGAGCCCATCCTTCCTGTCGGCATATGCTGCTGTAGCCACCTCCCCTTTTGTAGACATCGCGCGCTGCAGCCTCACCCCGATTAGGGCTTTAAAAGTATCGAACGTGCCTACGCCGAATCACCGCCGCCCCCCTGCCTGTTAGGATACGCCTGCGCCTGTGTGGCCAAACGTTTGTGCCATATTTGGCACGCTATTGGACCATGCGCTCCCCCAGCCATTGTGGAAGTCCTTCGAAGATCGCGTGGGGGAGGAAGAGGAGGATGAGGAGAGGGAGGAAAAGGGAGGATGAAGAGACGGATGAGGAGACCTCTTGGTAGCTTCTTGGGTCACTCGGGGCTTCCTGGGAGCTTCCTTGGGGGCCTTTGGGAGGCCTCTAAGAGCCTTGGGGAGCCTGCCTCTTGGGGGCATCTTTGACCGTCTTAGGGCGTTCCTGGCCCGTGCGACGCCGTCGGAAGCCGTCTTGGGAACCTCCCTGGACCGTCTTGGGGCTCTCTTGGGACGCTTCAGGGCCGTCTTGGAGGCCATCTTGTGCATGCGGGAGGCCTCTTGGGCCCTCTTGGGGCCCTCTTGGGGCCGTCTTGGGGCCTCTTGGGCCGTTCTGGGGCCACCTTGGAGGCCCCTTTGGTAATCTTGGGGCGATCTTTGGGAACTCTTGGGCCGTCGGACCGCCGAAAAGAAGCAAATGCCCAAATCCAACAAGAAGCAAATGCCAACATTTTGGTCTCTTCGGGCTTTCCTGGAGGACCTCTCGGAGGCCCTTTGACTTTTTGGGCCGTCGTGGAGGCCTCTTGGACGCTTCTTGGGCCGTCTTGGACTCTCTTGGACCATCTGAGTGGTCTTTGTGGCATCTTCGACCATCTCGGAAGCCATCTTGGGCCTATCTTGGGTTCTCTTGGGGCCATCTTGGCCGTCTGGGAGACAATGTTGGCCGTCTTGGAGGGCATCTTAAGCGGAAAAGTCGACGGGAGGTGCCTCCGGGCAAGCTTTGCGCGTGGCCGGCGCGCTGTGCCGAAGCCCCAGGGGGAGTCTTACAAAGGACCAAGCACCATCTGAAACTCAGCACGCTGGGCACCCCTGTGGCAAGACCACAGGGGGCGGCGGATGACAGACAGCGCGCGTAGCGTCGCGATCCGTTAGTCGGGGGGAATAGCAAGAGGGAGTGCGAGGGGGGGAAGCGCGCGTAGTGTCGCGATCCGTTAGTTGGGTTAAGTCGGGCATGCCCTCCTACAGGAGGAATATTCAAACATGGTCAAGAGTAGCCTGGGGGCGATTTTCCTATTCTTTCTAGACCATGAGTATTGTTTGACTGTCGTCACTCCTCTTCACAATCCGCCTGTGGGAGGACATGCCCCACCTGATCGTTGGAAGGTCGCAGTGGGGGAGTGTGGGGGGGCGGGCAGGCGCACGCCCAGCTCCATTGGCCCCACCTTGGCGTAAGCTTTTCGGCCCCAGACGGCCCGAGTCCGCCCCCCAGGAGCGCCCAAGGGACGACCCCCGAGGCGGCCCAAAGAGGCTCCCGAGGGGGCCCAAAGAGGCTCCCGAGCCCCAGGGAGTCCCAAGAGGGCCCGAAGACGGCCCAAGACCGCTCCAGGAGGTCCCAGAGTGGTTTCAAGACGGCCACAGAGGTCCCCAAGACGCTCCAAGAGGCCCCCAAGAGGAGCCCCAAAAGGCAAACATCGACCCATTCCATGAGGGGAGCGTACATTTTGAGCATATTTGCTCCTTTGGTCAGGCCAGCGTCCAAGACAGCCCAAGGGGCCCCCGAGAGCGCCCCAAGACGGCCCTGGAGATACCCCTGAGGGTCCCACAAGGTTCCCAAGGTTCTTGGGGGCCTCTTGGGGCCTCTTGGGGGCTTGGGCGCCTCTTGGAGGCCTCTTGGGGCGGAAGGCTCGAAATGTTCGGTTCGTGCTCCCTCTCTTGGGCCCATTTGGCGCCGTTTTGGGGCCCTCTTGGGCCGTCTTGGGGCACTCTTAGGCCGTCTTGGTGCCCTCTTCGAGGCCCCTTGGGCCGTCTCGGGGTGGTCTTGGGGGCCTCTTTTGTCGTCTTGGAGCGGCGGAGCGCAGAAAAGGCGAGAGCGCGCAAATCTTTCAAAAACTGAAGGACAGTCAATGATTCCTGCCTCTTGGGAAGCCTCTTGGAGGCCTCTTGGGGCGTCTTGGAGGCCTCGAGGGCCATCTTGAGGCCATCTTGGGCGTCTTGGAACGATCTGTCGGCGACTCGTGGCCCTTCTGGACGGTCTTGGGGGCCTTTTTGGGGGGCCTTGTTCATAGGACAGGCTTGAGAGCGAGGGGACCGGCTCCCTGAAACAGTCTTCAGGAGCGAGGAGTGAGGCTCAGAGGATTTGGGCAAAGGGCCTGAGGACACGCCCACTCCGTGCCCAAGAGCACGGTGGTTGATAAACATGGCCGGGGGAGGGGGATGCGACGGGGCCCAGGGGTGCGCGTGCGTCAGTGCCCCGGCGAGCCCAAGCCCGAGCCCGAGCCCGAGCAGCCCGAGTCCGATCCTGAGCTCGCGTGCGCGGGCGCGGGCGCGTGCGCGCGCGTGTGCGTGTCCGTGTCTGCGTCTGCGTGTGCGTGTGCGTGTTGGTGTGCTTGTGCGTGCGCCTGTGCATGCGTGCGTGCGTGTGCGCGTGCGTGCGCGCGTGCGCAGGCTCGGTCGCGAGCCCAAGTCCGAGCCCGAGCGCGAGCCCGACCCCGAGCCCGAGCCCGAGACCGAGCGCGAGCTTGGGACCGAGCCTGATTCCGAGTTGGAGCCCGAGCCCGAGCTCATGCGCGTGCACGTGCGCTCGCGCCAGGCTGCGTGTGCTTGGGTGTTCGCTTCCGATCTGTTTGTTTGCGATCAAACAACTCACTACCAACAACATTCACCCAACTGTAGGAGGAGATTGCGCCGTGAGCATTTCACGGGAGCGAGCATACGTGCAGCTCGTTATGGCAACTCGGAGTGGGCGAGAGCTGTAGATCACGTGAAGAGTCGTCTCTACGACGGCCAGATTGGATTGTCTTTGAGACGTGTTCTTCCCGTCTTGTCCAGCCTTGTCAGGGCTCGAGCGGGGCGCGGGGACGACCGCGAGCTGGCTCTCTCGTCTGGCTGTCACTGACACGCGCAACTTCAGCGGTAGGTTAGGGCAAGCTTGTTTTGCAAGGTTCACGGAGCTCAGCAGACCCAGCACCCGACGCATGTTCGGGACAGGTGTCGGTTGCCGCGGGGCAGCGAGCCTCCAGTGGGGCCAGGAGACAATCAGGGGGACGGCGCTGCTTTTTCATATATCCATGGCGTGGGCTTCGCCCCCAGGTTCCAGCAGCAACTCCGCTGTCGCCTCTTCGGCGGGCTGCAGACACCGCAGGGGGACACGGGCTGGCCTTGCCGTCCGAAGGTCTGGCAAGCCGCGGGAAGGGCGGCCACATGAGGAAGGAGGAGGAGGGGGAGGAGAAGGATGAGCAGGAGGAGGAGGAGGATGAGGAGGATGAGGGCAGAGGATGAGGATGAGGAGGAGGAGGAGGAGGAGGAGGAGGAGGAGGAGGAGGAGGAGGGCAGAGGAGGAGGAGGGCAGAGGAGGAGGAGGAGGAGGAGGAGGAGGAGGAGGAGGAGGAGGAGGAGGAGGGGCAGTGGCAGGAGCAGGAGCAAGAGCACGGCGGGCTCGTGCCGCCTCGACGCCGAGGCGGCGCCGAGGCGCGGGAGCCCCCCCCCCGGCTGGGGGCAGGGGCGGCGGGCTTGCGCCTCGGGGTCCCGCAGAGAGGCATCCCACGGCGCGGAGGCCGTACCAGGGGCGAGGTCGAGATTTCGTGGAGACCTCCGAGGGCGGAGATCGTTCGTCCAATGTTGAGTGGTTCGCGGGGCGTCAGACCATCGAGGATAAAGAAGAACCCCCAACCCTACTGTCACAGCGAAGGCGTGTCCTCGCAGGGGTCCCCGTCTTCGCATTGGGGATCATGTTCTGGGCGGCTTGGTTCGATACGTCTGCAGACAAGAGCCCCCATCCCTAATGGTCTTGGTCCTCCTAGCTTAGGTCTCCTCCTGCAGTGTTAGGGGCCATTCTGTGGTTAATTATCAACCAGAGCCCACGTCGTTCAGGCAGGAACCTGTTGCGGGAGCTCGCCAGTGCAGCCCAAGGCTTGTCGACATGATCAGCGGAAGCATTCTCCGAACTGGATCGAGAAGGCTACCTTGAATATCGCTTCTGGGGATGGCTTGTCGGATGCTCCCGCAGTGTTGTGTCTGGGAGACCACGTCCCCGACTGAGAGCACTTTGATTTCTCAAACCCCTGAGGTTCCGTGGTGACCGAGGGAGTAGGTCGTCATATACGGTCAGAAGAGTAGGTCATGTGAGTGACGAGGAGTACTCGGCTTCGTCTGGCTGCTTTTCTCATCTGTCGTTTGCTGGAAACCCTTGCATCTTCTTCCTCGTCTCCCTCGTGAAGGAGGGGCGTGTCTTGAAAGTGATGGCCACCCTGTGCACAACGGCATTGCTAAATTCGACTGGGGCAGATCGGGGCACTTTCTGAGGCAGGCGAAAGGCGAGGGATAGGCCCGCTGTGCTGCAACGCTTCCCCCCATAGGCGAAAGCTGCAGTCGGCGGCGAGGGCATGTGGGGCGATGATGACGCAGACAAGAAGGAGGCAGCCGACGACGGCGACAAGGAGCGGGGGACATTCGCTTGGCATCGACCCAGCAAGGAACACAGACGCCTCCGGAGTTGTACTCATCCGTTACTTCCTCCTCCTCCTCCACTGCAGATCTGGGCTCGATTCGACAGGCTCGATCGCTTGTGCGACTGGATGTCCCTCCGCCTCCAGCTTGCTGCGACCGTGCAGCGCCGCGGGGAGGTGGGCATTGCGCGCGTTCGTCTTCGAGCATGCGTTACCGACTAACTGGGCGATGAGGGCCCCGCTCACACTTGCCCTCCTCCCCCTGGTCCCAATCCCCTCACCTCCTTCCTATCCTTCCCGCTCAACGGGTTCCACTGCAGCGATGACGGCGACGTCGAGCAGGAGGGCTGGTGCAACTCTTGCGATGACGTCGGGGGCGACCACGGCGGCGAAGGTTCTGCGGCGAGGGCGGCGGCGACGGGGGCGGAGACGACGGGAGCGGAGGCTGCGGCGACGGCGACGGCGACCAGAGTCGCAGCGGCGTCGCGGTCCCGCGAGGAGCCCAGTGGCCAGGAGGGCTGCGAGCCGCTCCCGTGCATATCTGCACACACACGTGCTCGGTGCGCGCTTGTTTTATGTATAGGCCGCCAGCGCGACAACCGAATCATAAATGTCTGTATAAGCATACACGTTTGGAGGTCCGCGCGGAATTCCGGGGCGTGTATTGGGCCCCCCTCACGGTGCCTTTGGCGTCGCCCTTGGCGCGCTCCCGGCGCAAGGCAGGGGGAGGGGGCGGTAGCAGCGCAGATCCAAGAAATCTGCGCGAACCTCCTCGAGCTCATGGTTATGCCGTGTTTCTCTTTCCAGACAAGGGGAGGGGGGGTGAGGGCGGTTGACTTCTGAGAAGGCAGGGGGCTTCCCAGAAGCGGCCAGAGGCTTCCAGCAATGGTCCTTAAATCGCAGGAGGGCTTGTGACAGCCCCCCCCTGTGCCTTCTCAGAAGGCTGCCCGTTCGACCTTCCCCTTTAGTTTGCTCGTGCCGCCAAACCAGAGGGGGCATCTGCATACAATCTGCATGCATGCGCTCATGACGCCCACGCTGCGAGCACCTGGTTGTACACACGTTGGGGCCGCGTCCGAAGGACGCCGTCTTGTGTTTGCCGTGCAGTTCTGCACAACGCATGTGCCGCTTGGGGCGGAACTGGCCCGAATCATATTGTAGCTTTGTCCAGACGATGCAGGAGGAGTCTGGGCGCGGTTGTGGATGAACTGGGTCGCCTTGTCTCCTCGGCACCCGCCCCAGCTTCCGCTGGAACCTTGGGCGTCGAAACAAATAACCGTCCACACGAGGGTTGAGCAGGACAAGGGCAGGGCTCATCCGCACGAGGGATGAGCAGGACGAGGGCGGCGTGGATGGAGGGAGGAATGGATGGAGGGAGGAGTTGAACGAGGGAGAAGGAGGGAAATATGGAGAGGGAGGACGACGATGAGGGAGGAGGCTGACAAGTGAAAGAGTAGACGGAAGAGGAGGAGAAGGAGAGGCAGGAGCAGGGAATGCAGGAAGACGGAGGAGGAAGAGGAGCAGGAGGAGGAGGAGGAGGAGAAGAAGAAGGAATTGAGAAGGATAACGATGATGATGCTGATGATGATGATGCTGCTGATGATGATGCCGCCTATAGCGATGATGATGACGATGATGATGATGATGCTGCTGATAATGCTGCTGACGAGTATGACGACGATGCTGATGATGATCATGATGTCGCCTATAGTGTTGAATATGGTCATGATGATGACGATGCTGATAGTGACGATGATGATAAGTATGATGATGACGATGACGATGCTGAGGATGCTGATGATGACGATGATCATGCTGATGATCATGCTGATGATCATGCTGACGATGACCATGCTGATGAGGCTGATGCTTCTGCTGCTGATTACGATTATGATGCTGGTTGTGATGGTACCGGTGATCATGATGATGATGATGATGATGATGATGATGATGATGATGATGATGGTGATGGTGACGATGATGATCATGATGTTGTTGATGATGATGATGAGCGTGATGGTGATGGCGATGATGATGATCGGTTGCTGATGATGGTGCTGATGATGCTGATTATGCTGATGCTGATGCTGATGAAGATGCTGATGCTGATGCTGATGATGACGACGATGATGCTGATGGTGCTGATGATGGTGATGGTTGTGGTGGTGGTGGTGATAATGATGATGCTGTCGATGATGATAATGTTGATGATGATGCTGATGCAGCTGCTGATGATAATGATGATGGTGATGATTGTGATGATGGTGATGGTGATGATGCGGATGAGGAGGTGGAGGAGGAAGAGGAGCAAGGGATGGGGGTGATGATGCTGATAAGGATGATGATGATGAAGATGATGATGATGCTGCTGCTGCTGATTATGATGATGCTGATGATGATGCTGATTCTGCTGATGAAGATGATGATGCTGATGCTGCTGCTGCTGATGATGATGATGATGACGAGGAGGAGGAGGAGGAGGAGGGGGAGGAGGAGGAGGAGGGGTGGGGGAGGAGGAGGTCTGAGGAGGAGGAGGAGGAGGAGGAGGAGGAGGAGGAGAGAGATGAGGAATAGGAGGAGGAGGAGGAGGCGGAGGAGGAGGAGAAGAGGCGGAGGAGGAGGAGGAGGAGAACGAGGAGGAGGAGGGGGAGGAAGGAGGAGGAGGAGGGAGGAGGAGAGGAGGAGGAGGAGGGCGGAGGAGCAGAGCAGCAGGAAAGGAGGGGGAGAGAATGAGGAGGGGAGATGAGCAGAGGAACGGGAAGAGGAGGAACACGAGGAGGCGGAGGAGGAGGCGGAGGAAGAGGAGGAGGAACACGAGGAGGCGGAGGAGGAGGAGGGGAGGAGGAGAGGAGGAGGAGGAGAGGGAGGAGGAAGGAGGAGGATGATGATGCTGATGTGATGTTGCTGATGATGATGATGCTGATGATGATGCTGATGATGATGATGATGATGATGATGAGAATGAGGAGAGGGAGGAGGAAGAGAGGAGGAGGAGGAGGAGGAGAGAGGAGGAGGAGGAGGAGGAGAGAGGCCGGGGCAGGAAGGCTCTCTCTGCGGCGGGCACCCCCAAGGACGCGGCTGCCCCAAAGGCTGAGGCGAAGGGCAAGGCCAAGGCTCGGTTCCTCTCCCCACCCCATCTCGGCCCTTCTCCTCCTCACCCTCACCTCATCCTCCTCCTACCTCCTCCTCCCCTACGCCTCATCCTCCTCCTCCTCCTCTCCTCCTCCTCCTCCTCCTCCCCCTCCTCCACCTCCTCCTCCTCCTCCTCCTCCTCCTCCTCCTCTTTGCCACACTGCTCCTCACTTCCTGCGGACTCTCACGAGCTCCTGGTGCCCTTCTGGGCGATCTAGAACAGCCAACTCGTGCATTGCTTGTCGAACGCCTAGGGGTGACCACATTCGGCATATCATATAGTGCCCTCCGTTGAACGAGATTGCGATCGCTTCTCCTCACCTCCCCAATATGAATTTGTCATGGGGGATGGCGTATCAAGACTGTGCTACTGGCGCCTGTTCCCTGTGCCCATGAAAGGCCCTCCTGCGCACTGCACTCTTCCACGATGCCGTGTGTGAGGCCTATCACGACCTCAGACACCGGCGTTTCGCCCGTGACCGGCTGTTGGGGCTTGCGCAGGTTCGCCTCCAACAGTTGGCACGTAGGGACCCGCGGGTCAGGGCAGCGAATGGACGACTTTACCTTGCGGGGGCTCGAGTTCTCCGCTCTCGGGTGCTCGTGGGCATAGCGCTCTCCAAGGGCAGCGGGCATTCTCTCCTCAACGCCTTGCGGGGTGATCTCATCCACTCCCCTGTTGGCCAGTGTCGCTCCTCCTCCTCCTCCTCCTCCTCCTCCTCCTCCTCCTCCTCCTCCTCCCTCTGCCTCGATGCACAGAGGTGAATCTTACCAGGCTGGCCCGTGGACTGATGCCAGGGCAATCGCGGACGGCGTTGGACTCAGGCGCTGCCACTTGACGCGTAGAGTGGAACAAGTGTTTGCCCCGCTGCGTTACCACGTTGCGAATGACATGGAATCATGTTCGCTTCGCCCCCCCCCCCTCAGACGTTGCCGCGGGACGAGTCGAGCGGAATGTTATGTTTTTTTCTCCGGCCCGCTGCGTTGACATTTGGCGAGTCTCGTCGCATCCTATGTGCTTTGCCCCGCTGCGTTGCCACGTGGCGAGTATGACAAAAGCTTATTGTTTCGCCCTCGGGCGTTGCCGCGTGCCGAGTGGCATGGACTGTGTTTTTGCTCGCTCTCTCCAGGCGCCGCCACGCGACGAGTCAAGTCGACTCGGCTCCTCTGACGCCTCGTTGCGCTGCCGCTTGGCGAGTACAGCGGAGTAGCATGGGCTCCCCCCCCCCCGCCCGCGTTGCCGCGTGTCGAGACGAGTGGAGTGGTACTTGTTTCGCCCCACCGTGTCGCCACTTGGCGAGCTCAATCGGGTAACACGTGTTTCGCCCCCCAGGCGTCGCCGCGTGGCGAAGGCGGACGAGGAGGAGGAAGAGGAGGAGGAGGTGGAGGAGCAGGAGGAAACGGATGGGGGAGCAGGAAGGAGCATCGGACGGGGGGGGGGGTACCTCCTCCCTGTCCGATGCAGTGCTCCTGTCTGCCCCCCCCCTTTTCTTAAGTCGGGCCTGTCCCCCTACAGGGGGATTTTCGATGACAAACTAAAAATACCCCCAAGATAGTCAAAACATAGTCGAAAAATAGTATGGGGACTATTTTTGGAGGATGTGTTTGCCATTGTGTGGTATTTGTTGAGTATTTTATTTTTGTTCTTCGTCGAAAGTCCCCCTGTTGGGGGACACGCCCGACTTAACCCTTTTCCGTCTTCCTCGGCTGGCCGGCAAGGCAGCGGCCGGGCCGCCCAAGAAAGAGAACGCCATCGTGAAGGCCGCGAGGGAGCGCCTGGAGATGGAGGCGAAGATCGAGGCCGAGAGGAAGGCCCCAGCGG